AATGTAATGTAAGATGTGATAGGCTAAGAAACTGCAGGGCTTGGCATTGGCATAAAATTTTCTCGACAGTTTCTTCCACCTCTTCGTCCTTGCAGCTGCGGCAATAGTCGTTGTGGAGTGAATTCATGATGCTCCTGATGACGGGGCTGTGTCGATTCGGGTTCTATCCATTCTTGATAATTCGGATGTTCTTTTCTTTGAGATTTTGTACCAAAATTGGCGGGCGAACCAGCAGTTTGGGACAGATTCTCAGCTGAGTTGGTTTTTTTATTTTATTGTCTACCTTAAGTTCAAGTTTGTAAGTGCCTATTGGTATTGCAGAACACTAAATTTCAAAATGGAGTGGTGTGGTGGTACCTATGCAAGCCCATTCGTCTACTTACTAAGCAGTTGTCTGTGATGTTCATGTGACCAGGGACCTTTAGTCATATTAAAGGTCCTCAAAGTCATATTAATGGAGAATCTCGTAAAGAGATTCCATATCTCCATATCTGGGGTTCCATATCGTTTATTTCCAGGTCTTTTCTGCGCGTTCAGTTGGCCAGGGCTTGCCATTTTGTGCTTATGAAATTACAATTTTCCGGTGAAAATAATAACAACGTTCACGAACGCCACAACTTGTAGTCCCTCTTTTCCATATTACATAGATTCGAATTGACATTTCATCGAAGAGGGAAGATGACTATATTTGCGGGGTTCCTCTGCAGACGTCTTTTAAGAGGATTGATGTGCCTAGTGAAGAAGTTAATCTCCTGCATATGAGCAATTGATCAATGAGTCTCATCAAGTGGCCATTTACCCCAAGGAAAGTCAAGGCGTCAGTTATGGTGTTTTGTGACAATGTTGTTGAAGTTGGGCTTTGGGTATGAATACATTCCGTGACACTATACACTGCTTGAGCCTTGTTATTTATGTCCACTGCTTTAGCTTCTTTTCTCCGCGTAGGTATGTGTTGTTTGGTGGACCTACAAGTTGCGAAAAAAGTAAAGTCCACCCGGATAAGGCTTCCTAGAACAGGGGGTCGCCAGTTTCACTGAACCCTCCGTTAAAATCAGGGCACAATAAAGGCCTTTAGTGTAGAAAATAAGGTACCCTGTTTATTTTAGTATGTTACAATGCACGCTTGTATAGTTATAGGAAAGAGAAAGAGATTGTCGGGTCAGGCAGCAGCACGGCGTTTATTGTTGATCTTTAATTAATGTTAATGTAATGTTTAGTGTGATGTTTATTTATTAGGCTTAAGTACAAATAAGTAGCTTAGTTGATCGCAAGCCAACTATCTCTCGGCCGCTCGATTCACTAACTTTCTTTGGAAAGTTTTAGCTCCGCAAAAGTATAGGTCGGGCCTATACTTTATTTACGGCATTGAAAAATCTCAATGACCAAACAGATCATGAAGTAATTGTCTCGCTCTAAGAAATATAGAATTAGAAAATATGTATGTATATCAATTTTTTGTTTTTTCCTCAACTTTAGTCGCAAATAGAGTGGTGAATCGCAACGCCTTTGACGTCAACAACATTGACAATTCAACATGGTGCTTGGATAGTGGTGCCACAAGCCATATATGTTGCGCAAGAGAGCTATTTACAAAATTTGAGAAGCACATTGAACAGATCGGACTGGTTGATGCTGGTTTCCTTCAAGCAGATAAGATCAAGATACAAGGTTCTTTACGTTCCGAAGATGTCCGGAAATTTCTATTCCGTGAGCAGTGTTGTCCAGAACAGGTTCAAGGCGATCTTTGACATAGAGAATGCCAAGGTGATGCAAGATAGAGAATGCATAGTGAAAGCCAAAAAGATTGGAAACTTGTACTTGTTTGAATGTGGCCGCAGTAAATGTTTTGCCATGTCAGCTGTTGATCGGATTTTGCTACACAAGAGATACGCACATATTAATTTCTCTAGATTGAAAGAGATGGTATCCGAAGGGAAAGTTCGAGGGATAGATAATATTAGGTCGCCAGAGAATATTAACTGCAAAACGTTTATTTTTAGCAAAATCCATGTTCAACCTTTTCCATCACCAATAAGTAATCGGGCTAAGGAGCTTTTGGATCTGAAACATGCAGATGTTTGTGGACCTTTCCCAACACTGTCTCTCGGAGGTTCCAAATATTTTCTGACGTTCATTGACGATAAGTCCAGGATGATTTTTGTTTACTACCTGTGTGGTAAGAACGAGGTGCTACCCAAATTTATCGAATTCAAGAATCTTGTGGACCGGCAGACAGGAAGAAGACTTAAATGATTGCGGAGTGATAATGGCGGAGAATTTGTCAATAAACAGTTTGACGAATGACTGAGGCAGCATGGAATCGACAGACAGATAACAATAGCGTAAAATCCCCAGCAAAATGCAGTTGCGAAACAGGCAAATCGTACAGTAGTGAAGATGTCGAGATGCCTTCTGGTTCTGGCGGGACTGGGAGATCATTTTTGGGCAGAAGCTGTCAACACTGCGGTTTATTTGCGAAACCGCTCCCCTCCCAGCGCATTAGACAGTATGACTTCTATGGAAGCATGAACGGGTAAGAGACCTTATGTAAAACACCTAAGGTTTTTGGATCTCTTGCAGTTTCTCTGGACAAGGGTTCGAGGTAGGGCAGCAAATTTCAACCTAAGGGAAAGAGTACATTATAGTTGGGTACTCTGTAGCAGCCAAACGTTATCGACTATATGACCCATCACCTGGTGATCGAGAAACGGGGTGTATTATTTGATGAACATCATGACGTGGCATCCAAGGGTGATACCGATCAAGCATGTCGTGGAGGAGGCACGCAGGGGCCCCGGCCGTCCTAAGATCATCCGAACTGGAAAACCTGGACGCCCAAAAAAGCAGTACAATATCCTTGGCGCCCTCTTTTCGGAAAATGTTCCAATTCCGTTAACTTGCAAAGAGGCGCTGGAGAGTACAAATGTGAAGCCATGGAAAGATAACATGATTCTCTGGTTGCCAACCAGACTTGGCAAATCACTGATTTACCCAAAAATCAGCGATCAATTGGATGCAAATGGGTGTTCAAAGTAAAGCGTGATATAGAGGCAAAAAAAAAAAAAAAAAAAAAAAAAACATGCACTTCTTATCAGTCCGTAGTAGGAGAACTTATGTGGCTAGCTCTTACAAAAAGGCCAGACATGTGGCATTTGGTGTCAAAATTGGCACAACGAAATCAAAACCCGCATGCTGAACTCATGGCTGGCATAAAGCACATCTTTAGATACCTCTCATCTACGATTGACATGAAACCACACTATGGGCAATGTTGGATTGGGCAGGTAATAGGCTTGACAGGAAATCCTATACTGATTACATCTACCTGCTAGCAGGTGGTCCGATTTCCGGAAAAGCAGTGAAGTGTGGGATTAAGCAGTACCGAGGCGGAGTACATGGCACTATCGGCGGCATTAAAGGAGACGATAGTCCTGCGAAGTCTGATTATGGAGATCGGTTGCGGAGATACAACACCTCGATCGTCATGTATGGGGATAATCTGAGTGCGGAGGCGTTGACCAAGTTCATCATTCATCAAGTTGCATTTCCTTCTTGTTTTTTAATAGTTTAAACGCAGAGAAAGTTAAAATTACCAAACTCTTTCAACTTAACCTCGTCATAAGCGAAATGTGGCTCGACTATAATTAATTCCTTTCTTTCTTTTTATCGACCTTCTTTCGTTTACGTCTAACACAAGTGTTTCTGACTGAAAAAATTGCAGAGCTTTAGACCTCTGGCTTAATTAAAACTTTGGTAAATACAATAGCATAAGATGCAACCCGGTACGGGGGATCCAGTTAATAGGTTTTCATCTTCAGTGATTATAAGTGCTTCGTGCATATCTTTTAGATGCGTGCTTATTCTTAAAGTAATGCAATAGAGAAACAAGAAAGGAAAGCCAACTTACGGCGCTGCCGAAGTTGATATACCCTTGCAGTTAAAACAACATTGCAAACATCGGATATAGTTGGCCGATCTTAATGAGAATATCATAATAAAGCCAATTAATTACAAGCAAAAAATATAAAAAAAAGTCCCAAGCTTCTATTTTAAAAAATACCAAAGTTGGTATTTCTACCAAAAACCATTTCCGATCGTTCAGTTATATGGCAGCTGTAAGATATAGTCCTATCGTGGAAAAATGGAGTTGACATCATTTGTCATAGATGGCTATCGAAAGGGATATCAAACAGATGTTATTTACATAGACTTTAGCAAAGCATTTGATTCAGTTAATCTTAACAGACCTCTTAACGTATATCTCCAGCTACTTAGATGGAAGGACACAAAGAGTCTTATTTAAAAACATACATTCCCGTCTGGTCCGTGCTACATCTGGCGTCCCTCAAGGAAGTCACCTTGGCCAGTTATTATTAACTCTCTTTATAAATGACTTGCCCCCTGCTTTAACGAACTCTCTAGTTCTTATGTATGCAGATTATGTAAAGCTTAGTCTTCAGTACAAATCCATCTTTGCCCAATGCAGTCTTCATTTTTGCATTTTTGCGGGTTGAACCGGCTAACCAGCGATTTCTGCAGCTCCAGTTATCCTGGTAGCTGATTTTTTAATCCTGTAGCTCTATCTCTTGATAGAGATCCACGCGTTCATAGGTACAGACAAACATGGCTATATCGACTCGGGTGTTGACGCTGATCAAGAATATATGTACTTTATGGGATCTTAGATGATTTCTTCTCTCTGTACACAAAAACTTTGTACAGGTATAAAAATTGAAAAAAAAAACCCAAAGCGTTCGATTCAACATAGCCGTGCGCCTTGAAGAGAAGAAGATTTATAAAATCTTATGAATACATTTTAAATATCCTTGATAAAATCAATCGTGTTTATAACATGCTATTTTACTATGCTTTCCTTTTATGATATTATTTTAACACTAAATTTTCAAACACACTTTAATACTATATGGCTATCGAAAAAAAATAATAATACATTTATATTTAATTGACAAGTAAAATTTGCTTGATATTTTTTCATTTAGGATCACAATAACCCTTTAAAGACTGTTGATTTGCGGAAAATATTTACACCAGCGACTGACACAAAGGAAATATTACCAAAAAATCGTGAGTAATGTATTAGTACAAAAAAGGTGATACGTGTGTATCATTAATAAAAAATATGAATTTATTATCAGAATTTACATGTGCTAATTTTTATTTGCAAGATCTCGCAAGATTACAAAAGAAACAGGCTGATAAATGACGTATCTCCTTTAAAAATAATCTAGGATAAAACCATTATTATTTGAGTTTTAAATTTAAATTTGTTTGAAATACTTAGGAAAACTTTATGCTTCATCTGCATTTTATTCGCCAACACTACACCCTACTGTGGAAGACCAAGTTGAGCTTGCCAGGAGAATATCTTACTCATTGAGTGATATCAGTAACCAAACTTCTAAGGGTCAATCAATGTTTGTCAATCGCAAAAAACGCTCAGTAAAATGGGTTCATGAAGGTAGTGCTCAAGGTAACTAGTAGATTATTAGTTCCACGACCCTAATTAATGTACTGTATTCGGAAGTATTCGTAAATATAGCTTTGCTTGTTGTAATAGTAAAAAAGTGCTTGTTAGTAAAAAAAAAGTGATCAGTAAAGCCCAGGGCTCTTATATGTACAGTAAAAAAATAAATACAAATATCTTAAAATATATAGTATTTCACAAAAAACTATTTTTAAATGAAATAAGTTTGTCCTTTAGGTACCTTTTTACAAATACAATTAAGGCGACTTTTTCAAAATTACTGAAATGGAATTTATCTAAGATAAGCCTAGCATTGAGCTTTGGATAATTTAAATTATATTTTTATCCATATAAAGAATGTGTTAAAAGTATCTAAAATGGAGCAAACCAATCTATTTAACTTTAATTTTTTTTCTTGCTTCCTTATATTTATGGTTCTAAAAATATATTAATAAAATAGTTTTATCATATATTTAGAGAAAGAATTTTTAGACGATGTTAAAGTTCCATGTAAGGAAAATTCGGTCTCGTCAACGGGATTAACCCACCTGGAAAAAATACCGCTTAAGCTTATAATGAATCCAAACGGACAAGTCCGAGACTATGATTCGCTTAAAGAATTAATAAACATCGAAGCTGGTCTATTATCGCCTGATAATTGTGCTGAACTAATTACTGCATTGCAACTTCACCAAGGAAGAGGTAAAAATCTCATAATAATGATGCTTTTTTAATTTGTCTAACCTTGCACAGGTATTACAATACCTCAATTTGCGTCTTATTTATGTCATATATATGAAAAGTATCCGAGGTAAACTGAAAAATTGAAAGTTTCAATAAGATTCTCTAGGAAGCAGGTTTCATAATGTGAACGATAAATGCGATATTTATACTAGAATTTTCATGAAAAAAGTTAGTCAAATGTGAGATTATTCATAATTCATGCCTTTGCATAGGGTCAAAAGTGTGGAAAGCAGTAAGGGAGACGTATACTCTTGTTCAGGATCACTTCTTGTATACTCTTATACAGGATCACCTCTTAGGTGGATTTAAGCATGTCCTTTTATCTGTCTATCCGGTCTTGTCTATCAGTTTTATAGGTATCCATTCTAAACTTTGCACACATCCTTTTTTTCTTTGCACGCAGTATATAAGTAGGAACGTCCGTCTATATTCTATATAAATGATTAATCAAAAGCACCACAGCTTTGCCTTTTAGAGTTAGATAGTTCTGATTTTTTTTTACGTAAAATATTTTTGGCCAATTGATCTTATCTACCAAATTTGAAAAGGATGACCCGTCCTTGTCTCGCCCGGGATTACTTCTCATATGCGTGCATAAGCTCCATGTTCCTATCTATTTTTCGCCAATAGAGTGCGACACTTTTATACAATGCTTTAGCCGCCAAGTACCATGAAGCTGCACTTTTCATAAGGTCCTCGCGCCTTTTGGACCACCGACGTCGGTCTTTGCCAGAGTGTTGCTTGCTTGCTACATTTATTTTCTTAAGTAAGGAATTCATCATTTTTGCCTTTCATTTTTTTTAACCAAACATGTGCAATTGTTCTTTTTTTGTCTATTGCGCATAAAAAATAGGCACCACAGCTATGTTGTCATGTATTCAGACGTGAGTAGGGTTGGAGGTCTCAGTCCTGACTGAATAACTAAATACGAGTAGCAAGTGAATTTCCGCGAAATTTTTTATTTCAAATCAAAAGTTGATACTTTTAAATCATTATCATTTCTATTAATTTTTAAGGATTAGGTGACAGTATCTTATATTGCTTTGTTAAACAATAGAAAAATACATGAAAGCCTTGGATCCGCCCACTTTTGTTGTTAGCTATTAACCTTTAGCCTTCAGTAATTTATATTTTAAAATTACTGGGCAACTAAAATAAAAACATTGCAAATGCGATAGTTGCGAAAGTTGTTTTTTTTAATTTATCCCTTTTATTTTTAATGCAATGCTTCGCCTCAATTGGGGGAACACCTGTCTCCAATGCTACCGACGCCACAACTGCTGCCTTTGCCACCACCGCTGCCACCTCTGAATTGCATACATAGGGGCTGAATTGTTCGCAAAACGACGCAAAAAGGCGAATAATTGGATAGTCGATGAAACCAATGCGGAAACTCAATGTCTTCCGTCTGGTATTCCAGATTACCAGCAGAATCAAATAAGGCCGGCAACGTCTCCCAACATTTTACCAGCGTATTCTGATGCTGGAAAACATCGAGTCCAGTTAAATATTCATCAAAATCAGTTAATTGAAAAATACTCAAAGCCTGGACTTCAATTTGTTTCATCGCCTTGGGAAGCCGCATTACAAACTGGTTCTGCTAGTTCAGCTTTTTTAGAACCATGCAAAAACGAAACCATCGCGACCCCACATTATTCAGAAAATGGAGCTAAGGACTTAATAGATATTTCGCAGCGAACCCAACATGATACATTTGTTACCAATCAGGGAATAAGTGAAAATGTGAGTTATTCTTTTAATACTCTTGCAGATGGCATTTATTTACATTAAAAACGTGCAACGCACTGAAGTACACATCTCCAACCCTATAAATTATATACATTCTTAAATATGATCACATCCTATGTCAATATAAACAAATCCGTCTGTTTCCGTACGTGTATTTTTATTTTAAATAAATTAGATTTAATTAAATTACCTTTGGGAGAATTGGCCGTCTAAATTCTACAGCTTTCATCTAACTGAACCAAAATATTAAGACTTCGGTTCTTTTGAAGAAAGAATCATAGAATTTTTTTTCAAAAGTTGTAGGAAGAGATTTGAATTTTTCAAATATTGCAATATTTGCGATGAATTTAAGATTCGAAATATTTACAATACTATACGGTATATCTTTTAACATACATATATTTTCACTTAACGGGAAGGGTCTCATCTTCGGCTCCGCCGATTTTCCGATTTTACATTTTCTTATTTTTCTATTATAAAAAAGTAATGATTTCCCACAGGTCTCATCTTTATCTTCACGTAATGTCAATGTACCTCCGAATACCCAAAGAAATCTAGCGTATACCCCAAGTGTTGCTCAGGGCTGGGGTGGTCCTAACGTTAAGCTGCCCAATGGTGAGCGAAACATTTTTAATTTATATATATTTTAAGATCTAATAACGTCATCCTTGTTGAATGATTTATAATAATTTTATTATTGGAATCTATAATTAAATATCGCAAAATGTAGAAATCAAAGGAATATTTTCAAAGTTAAATTAAAAAATTAATAACATAAAAGAATTGAAAAAATATTAAACGGCTATAGCCGAGTTTCCCGACAGTATCACACACGTTACTCATATACTCGATCCACAACTTAAGTAACCTTTAAAGTTTAAACATTAACGGTATGGGTTCTCATTATGGTAAGAATTTTTGTTGCATACTCTTGCGCTCGGGCAAAAAAACCACTGCAGCCTAACGACCAACTGACCTGTTCATTAGTGAAACATACTAAACAGTAAAGAACGCCTGTAAAAATTATCCGTTTTGGCTGATGATTGATTTTTAGGTTTAGACTAGACATTGAAAAGTTTGGTATCGAACAATATTCCAAAAACATTCAAGAACTGGCGCTACAAAGATTTTTCTGTTTCGGGGGCTGGACTGGTTGGGGCAAAACTTTGTTAGAAACTTTGTCTTCGAGATCCACGAAAATTTAAGCTCGAATTTTAAGCTCTTTTGTATGGTAAATTTTATATTATATATTGGGGTATATCTCCTCTAAAAATCGTAGGATTTGGATGATTCAGATGTTTTTCAGATGTAGGTAAGGTTGAGGCGGCGATGCGGGGCCTGTCACTGTAACCCCCGTCCACTTAATCCGCTAGGGCTCCTTGTGGTACCACTCAGGCAGAGGTCCTACCAGGGGACCTCCCCCCTCCTATCTGCTAATGTGCCCAAGATTATGCTATCTTTCCTGCGGCAGCTCGGGGTCCCATCCGGATCTACGAGGTCTGTTAGGTCCGTGAGTGCTGCTGCGCCCAAGAATTTGTGTCAGCTGCGTCCCTGCGCAGGGCATTGACACAGGAGGTGTGCGACTGCCTCTACATCCCCAGAGCTCCTGCAGTAGTCATAATGTGGCACCGCTAATCTAGCCGCGTGTGCTCCTATTAACCAGTGTCCTGTGATGCCCTTGACTCCCAGACAGCAGTCCTGCCTATTGAGGACGATAAGCATCATTGATCTTTTCCTAGAGCGGATAGGCCATATCATGCGTGAATTCCTGCAGTTTTGGAGATTTCTCCATTTCCTCAGGGATGCGCGGTCAAAGTGATCCCTGCATTTTAGCCTAAGGGGCTAAGGGGATGCCTACTGGTACCTTCTCCGGTAAGAGGATTGGTAGTACCTGCTCTTGCTAGTTCGTCAGGGGCGCCATTTCCCTCGTGGTCCCTATGTCCGGGCACCCATATGAGGTGGATCTCATACTGCTGTGCCATCTCGTTAAGAAATCTGCGACACTCATTTACTGTCCTGGAGTTGGATGAGAATCTGTAAAGGGCTTTGAGTGCCGCTTGACTGTCTGAGAAGCTATTACTTCTGCTTGGAACACACTACAGTGGTCAGGGAGTCTAAAGGACTCATTTAGACACAGCCGTTCGCAATGGAAGCCGCCTCCCACCTGGCCATTCAATTTTGAACCGTCTGTGTAGATATGTAGGGAACCGACTGGTCCCGGGATTTTTGTGGCCCATTCCTCTCTTGTTGGAATGGATACCTTATATTTTATGGTGGGATGATCAACAGGTATGCAGTTGTCTGTAGCATGGCTATCTTGGCCCCCATTATCTCTACAGGTAATAGGTCGAGTATGAAGTCTAGGGCGTCTGTCGGTGTGGTACGCAGCTGCCTGTGATACAGACCGCCATCCTTTGCGTTTTCCTAATTCTCTCTCTACATGTGGAGTTTGTGAGAGCAGGTCACCAGACCACCACACCGTAGAAAAGGATGGGTCTTATGACCGCCATCTGACTATCTTTGGGGACATCTTTGTGCCTCTGTGTGAGCCTCTAGGGTTTCTTTGCTGACCAGTTACTTTCCGAGGTTTTAATGTGTCCTACGTTTGGTGCAGTTGTTGCGAGGACCTGCCGGACTCGGGAGGCCTCTGATGTTTGTTGAATGTTCGTGCAGAACTTGGTCCTGGCATTCCTTTTTGCCCTACGCAGTTCTTGGTTGTACTGCCTAAGGTTCGTTTTGTACGTCTCCCAGGCTGTCTCCGTGTTCGCCTTACTGGCGAAATGATCATGATGATGATAGGCGTTGGCATCGCAACCTATGATTAGGTCGATCTTGAGCTTCCTGCTATCTTCCACCAGCTGTTTGAGTAGCGGGTACGGGGGGAGGGCCTCCGGACCGTGGTCCATATACGCCGAACACATTTACTGAAAACAAAAGGCCTTTTACCTGTTGTATCGGCTTTGCCGAGCCTATACTCCGACGCCCCCAACCCAAAAATCCTGTCTCCAAGGATACAAAGTTTCTGGATCGGCTCTTCCAAGTCTGGCTCTTGCGCGTCTGCCTCCACGCCGATACCTCCTGGTTGGCTCTTCGCATCGGATTTATAAATACGGACCGTCCCATGTTCAAATCCATACTTTAACCCGAGCTCCGACCTTTCCAGGGTTTTCACGGTCTCCTCGTTGAGTGTGAGGACGACCTGCCTCCGCAGTCCTACCGCCTCCTCGAGCTTGGCCGTGGGAAGCGTCGGATTGCACATCCTAAGCAACGTCAGGATGGTTTTAGGGTCGGCTGGCTTTTCTGTGAGCCACACTCGCGCCCTCGGTTTGCTTGAGATCTCCTCCCAGTCAACCGCTACCAGCTTAGCTCCGGGGTAGACCTCTCCAAGTGATGCTATCATTCGCTTGTAGGTCTCTACCGATCGTGCGTCTTGGCAGGCAATTACCTTGACGCTACCCTGATACCATCCTGCGTCTTCGCATTCTGGTCGGGGTCGTGCGCTCCGTAACATCTCCTCCACGAAGCGTCCATGCAACTCGTTAACCACTCGTCGCCAAAGGTCCGTGGGGATAAGCCCATCCTTGGAACCCTTGTCCAGGACTCCAATTAGGGTTCTTCCCTTCGTCACTTCGGCGAACGAGCGGTTGGACGGCTCCGGCTGGACCTTCCTCTTCTTGGCCTGGGGGGCTTCTTCCTCCGTGGACCTCTGCCTTTTCACGCTTTGTGTGATCTCCTTGGCAGGATCTGACCCAGCACGTTTTTTCGGATCCAGCCTCACACCCGCCTTTTCTGCTTTAAAGTCGGGCAGGACCTCCCTTGCCCACTTAATAATCTCGTCCTGGTACGGGTTGGCTTCGGCCGATGGGTCCGCCCTCATTTAAATGAAGGCTGCTCTTTTCCTATCTTTATAAGAGCACTTTCGCAGCGTCGAGTGAGACGCGCCCGGACCGAGGTTCGTCATAGGAGCCCCGGCGGTTGGTTTAGAGGTTGACCCTGGGGTCTTCCTCTCCACGCCGTTCGGTGGTCCCATGGCTAGCCCCGCTTTGAAAGAAGAAGCCAAGGCATCCTCCTCCAGATATTGCCTTTCTGTTGGGGGGCTTCTCCATCTCAGCAACTCCTTGGCTTTTGAGGGCCTTGGAGTTTGACGGGTCAATGACCCCATTTCCGGACTTTTTTAGGGAGTTCCGTTCTCCGTTTAGGTTTTTATTAGGTAAGGTAGAATTTTTTGTCACGATAATCCTGGTTAAAACTGGGAGGTCGGCTGGTCCCCCAGAGTTCGCATATAAGCGTCCAAGCCTCCCCTCGGACACGCGTCCTTCGGCATATGCTGTTCAACCTTGAATTGGGGTGATTTAAGGAAGGGAGTGTTCTTCTCCCCGCCCGACTACCATTAGCCAGCATCCTCGGCAGAGACATGACCTTACCGGGACCTGTTACCAGCCGCCCTCACGTGGAGAGTATAGTCGCACCACCAGCGGTGTACACAGTTACGGCACGCAATTGCTTGAATATGGATTCTCAGCAACAAATTGGTATTGCATACTTTTACGCTTGGGCTCTAGTATGGACTAGAGCTGGGAAAAAATCGATTCCCAGTGCATCGATTATTTTCGATGTTTAAAAATAAAACATCGATTAAATCGATTTAATCGACAAAAAAAAAAGTTTTGTTTTATATATATTGAGATTAATCAATTTTATTTATATAGAAAACAAAACAAAAATACTTTTCTGTTGCCATCTATTTTATCCCAGCTTCATTCCATACTGTTTAAGTTTAAACTTTAAAGGTTAGTTAAATTGTGGGTGGAAGAGATGAATACCGGATGTAATATAGTCGGGAATCTTGTCTATAGCCGTCCTTTTATGTATTACACAGTGCGACCAAAAAAAAAAAATTGGAGGAACTTTTGAAGAGACCTAGTAGGAATTGTTCATTAGGTCGAATATGGTATAAAACCGTGTTTGTTGACTTATTTAGAAAAAAGTTCCTTTTTCGGGACTTTTTTGTTTTTAAAAATTTTTTAGTGGATTTTAAAATTTCCGTTTTTTAATAGCTAAATGATGTAGCTTTTTTTGCACAAGATAAGGATAAAATTTGTTGGCACAAGAAAGTGACATTTTTGAATTTTTGTCTTTTTTTTCGGACTTTGACGCCAATTTTTTGGTACAGCTTCATTTCGGTACAGTACTTGTTTTGGGAAAAGTGTTTTAACTTCAACAATTTTCATAATTAAAATAATGAAATTGGTCTAGTTTTATTCAGAATTAACGCGACAATATTGATATGTGTCAAAAATGATACCATTTCTTGGCAGTTGTACCGAAAAAATGGCGTCAAAGTCCGAAAAACACGCCAAAAATTCGAAAATGTCGACCTAATGAACAATTTCTTCTAGGTCTCTTCAAAAGTTCCAAATCATTTTCGCACTGTGTTATTTATTATATAAATACTTTTTTTATGTACTCTACGAGTACCGGGTATAACAATTATTTGGGCTTCAGAGCCATTAAATTAGCTTTTCAGAATGTGTGTGGTCATTGAGATTTTTCATAAATCATCAGTTCATTTTTTTTCATTTTTTTTCCAAAATAAAATGTCCAAATTAACTTGT